CCGCTGGGTTTGGAATATGCTATTTCGTACCATCTTTAAATGATTGTCTGTATTCAGCCGTTTCAGGGTAGGACAATCGGTAATACTATTTTCCCTTTTCTCTCTTCGTTTCGGAACCTCCATCTTTGGAGTTATATAGGACAAGCGTTTTATATTTTAGAGACAATCCCGCGTCCTTCTTTGGAACATAAAACAATAATAGCAGAAGACGAAGGGGTACTTTCCTCAAACATTTTTTTTACAGAAAATCAACTCTAAAAGTTGAGGGTCTAAATATCCACAGATGCTGAGGATAAAATGTGGCTCTTTAGCAATGTAATTGCAAGGAAGTTTACGCGCTATAATACAATGAAAGGCTTAAACAACAGAAAATATAATGTGAAACTAACCATTGAAGAGGTCGTGACAACCATAGGCGTCATTCCACCGCTCAGAGGGCCTGCCACCGAACGAGCCAATGAGGTTGCGAATGACGAAACGGAAGAAGCCGAGGGTCCGGATGCAGAGACAGTTGTCCCCGTCTGGAGAGATTTAGGCTGCTGTGACAGTGTTGCTAAGGCCCGTCTCCGATCCCTCATGAGCCGCTCTGCCTCAGTCAAGGGGCGATGTTCAGATGATGGATGGTGATGGCGTCGAGGACCACCGTTCATTCCACCCCAACCACCGTCCCCATTAATATACTCATTATTTCGATCTAGTTCTCCATCGTCTTCATCTCCATCAGAGCCGAAGGTGGTGATGAATTCGACTCCACCGCCAGCCGACCGATTTGATTGACCAGAACGGGGACCCCGACGACATCGAGTAGACGCTTTTGACTAGTCAAATAACAAAATAAAACTTATTTTCGTTGTTATTTTGAATAAAAAGATTAGTTTTAGTGAGAAAGAAATGCAAACACAGATGAAGTTAGTCTTAGTGAAGGGAAGCCTAATATCAACCTGTGCAAAATCTAGAAAAAATATCAGATAATTTATTCACAGCTATTCAGGGCCAACTTGTGAAAAATTGATTTGGCCTGAAACAGCAAATAGGCTTAATATATCAATCGACTGGCTAGCATGAGGCCAACTCAAACGAAGATATGTGTCCAAGTTGTCAGGGTTCATTGGATATAACTAAAAAGTATTGAGCTACAGCGTAAAAAACTATTAGCAATAGATTCAGTTCCTCTGTCAAATTATCGTTCGAAAACTAACTATTTAGCTCTAAAAATCAGAGTAAAATGAGAGAATTAATAGGCCAAATATAAACATCTCTTTTAGGATTAAGACTCTTAATGAAAAACAATGAATTCACATTTAAATAAAGCCTAAAATATAGGGATCTATAGGGTAAACTAACCCCGGCTTCATCTGAGGACCCACTAGAATGGGCGAGCGTTGTTGAAGTCGTCACCAGACCTGAGGGCCGACTACTGCCAGATCCAGCAGTTCGTCTTACGGAAGAGATGGACTCAGATGGTGTTAATTTGCGAGCTCGGCAAAGACTAGCAAAAGTGAGGCCGCCTATCAGAATTTGCGGGCGAGAGTTGCCACAAGAGCTACCGCATGAGCCATCGGGACAGATAACTAAGCCTTGAGTACCGATTGAGGAAACATTGGCAGACCCAGCAGTTGATGAAGAGGAATTTGACATACCGGAAGATCCGCCTCCACCTGATGAGCCGCTGGTCAGGGAACGATGTGCAGCGCGGCGTTTAGCAACGTCTCGGGCACCGTGGCCACGAGCAGTGTCCACACCCTCTCCTAGGCTGAAGCCAGGAGAACGAGGTGGAGAGGAATAATCGTTGGAATCTGACGAGTCAGCAGAAAGGTAGATAGTGCGTCTATACACAACAAATCAAGATAGGATAGGCTAGATATTAATCCAACGAGAACTGTCTGTACGAGGTGCTCAATATAAAAGAATAAAATAAGTAGATGAATTTCAGTGCAAGAATAAGTAGACTTATAGGCATGATAATGTCCATCAAAAATAACAGCAGAAAATTATAATTTACAAAGAAGTTGTTTGACCTTGTTTTCGCAGCTTGGTCATATTGTCAGGTAGTCCTAGAAGAACGCATGATAATTTCCAGTCGGACTGTGGACTTAGTACATTCCAAGACGCCTCAACGGCATCACCAGTGAGCCTTGCAAGCCTTAGCACCGCAATACATCTCGTCAAAGAATCAAATGAAATTAATCCTTTGACCACTTTTCTGGTTAACAGACGTGATATCTTTCTTTCTGTTCTGGTGTACTTACCTATCCTGTGCTCATAACACTCCTTCACAATCACAATTTCTTACTTGCTTATCTAAACTTTGCTAAGATGTGCCCTATGCACACTCAGCGCAGAGTTCCTTTATCCTCCCCAATGTGCTAGAAGTATTGATCCAAAACTGAAATTTAGCTCACAACCCTCTTCCTCCATAGGAGCAGTCTCTTATTTACCTGGTCCAGTGATTTCACTGAATTACTGACAACATATCCGCGCTACTCGAGGTGCTATGTTTTATATTCTGCCGCAAGCCTTTAATAGCAGATATACGCCCGCCCAGAAAATCTGGATTCTCAAGAGGCATAAAATACAACTGTCTCGCATAGGCACTGAGTAGATATTGTAGTCAAGCTTTAAGCCCCATGGATCACGTTTATGACCAAACTTATATACTAATAGCCAACTATAATTTGTCCCCGCCGCATCTACCGCTCTTTTATCCTAAATACGAAGTATATGATTTTCTTATGCCCTAGTCTCTGTTGTGCCGACCCCCAAATGTGATAGTTTTACTTGATTTGAGTAATCCTATTGTATGCGTCTGGTCTTGATTTCCAATTGTTCATCTCTGATTTCCTTGTAATTTTGTTTCCTCAAATTGAAAATATTTCCTTGATCTATACGTCTTCTTTTTGCTGATCTTGCTGTTCCCGAGTTTGCTTAGACAATAGGCAAAGTTTTTTCTAATTATGTCTTCTTCATGTCTCCTGCTAATTAGATTTATTTCAGTCAGGACATCGATGGCTTCTCGCATCTTGCGTTGTCATGGATTATTACTAGAGGCGGCCTGCCTTCCTGTTGATTTCGTGTTAGGTCCGTGCAATGTGTTCAGCTATTTCAAATATTTCCGTATCCGTGTTTATGAAGAGTCTTTGGTGTTCCTTGATTCGTAAGCTAATTTTTCTTACCGTTTCACCAATGCCCTTCAGCTCACAATTTGCAAATTAGATGCGAGAATGTCCAGAGCAGTCCATTTTGTCAACCCTCTCGCGTTGCATTAGCAGGCTGCGGAAATGTTGTCCTTTCCTTTGTTATCACTTTGATATTCCATCTCCTTAGTAATGGCAGCAATTTTTGGCTCAGACCACGAGAGGGAAAGTATATCCACTTTCGATCGACTTTCCGATTCCTGACCTTATTTTCATAAAATCAAAGATGTAATCTGCTCTTTATAAACCTTAATGTGAGGATGAGGGAACAAGGAAGGAGGATTAATAAGTCTCACTAAATCCGCTCAAAATGGCATGCCTAAACTAGGTTTAGATAAACAATTAAGCAATTTTGATAATGAAGGGGTTTTACGAGGATATAGGGTAGGCAAATACACCAGGGCAGGAGATATCACAGCTGTTTAACATACAAGTGGTCAGTTGGTCGGCTTCGCTTGTCTCTCTGAAGAGTTGTATAGTGGTGATAGGAATGGCAAGGCTCACTGGCAATGCCGGTCTTGAAATGTACCAAGTCCACGATCCGACCCTGGAAATTATCAAGCATGCTCCGGACGCCGGACAAGATGCGTTCCTCTAGGTCTTCCTGACAAGTGACCAAGTTGCGATAACAAAATCAAGCAACTTCTATACAACGAAAGGAGACCATGAGCATACTAAAGGCCACACTATCTTGCTCTTCATATCTTTATTTTAATTTATAAAGTTTGCCGAAGAGAGAGGCTACTTATT